GTTGATCACGGTTATAGCGAACTTCAGAATTCTCCTGTTTTGAGACGATCTAGGTCTGTTGGTGCATGTAATTCAGGTGCGAGTTTGATGTGCGCACAATCATCCCTCGAGTGCGATGTGGTGGGAGAATTCATGAATTTAACGTAGCCGTCTCGTCAAAGCAATGAATGCTGGGAGGATTTAAGACCTTCGATAAACATACGAAAAGGTTTCCCGTAACCGCCGGCAAAATTTTTTGGATTTATCGATATAGAAAAGCACGTCCTTAAATCCACTTTATTTGGGAAAGTTGAATTAATATCATAGAATATTGCTGCATAGTCGCCAGGTTCTTTCTAACGGTTTTCCGCCTCATCGTTGCTGGGAGGTGTTCCTGGATGTCGACGTGCGATGTACAGCGGGAGGATTCATTCTCCCGGCTGGGCCTTCCAAGGTGAAAAGGAGTCCGGCGTTTCCACCAGGAAGCCTAGTTAAGAGGACACCAATACCAGGATCCACCACCGTCCTCGTATCAAACTAATCGCATGGTGGCAAATCTCGCTCTGGTCCACAAGGGCGGTGACTGCCTGTGGTGGTGACGACTTGAGGCAGGCTTTGTCCTGGCTGACCTCAGTGTTTCAGGAAACCACAATGGCTAAGCCCACAAAACTCAGAAAAATTGGAGGTTATGCTGGGGCCCGTATAACTAGTGAGGACGGGCCATCCAAGTATCCAAGTAAGTCGTCAAGTTGGACCTCGGCTCTCGGTATTGGATGTTAAACAGATTTTATCGTGCACCATAGATGCTGATTAGAATCACTAATATAGATTAATGATCTATCTTCATTGCCAGATTTAGTGCTGACGGATGTTAGCTCATCATTTATGAAGCATGTTACCAAGATTTCAAGACCTTTGGAGTAACAGGGAAGGAGTCAGCCGGCAATTATGTCTTTGCAAGTTGTTGCTTAGGCAGTCTGGATGAAGTGAAACATATGTAACATACAAGCGAGCTTACACATTTAAGGTGACGTTGAACTGCGTAACGCGATGGGAAATCGACGAATGGTTTTAAATTGTCGATTTCATCATTGAACAATGGTGGAGAAATGAGATACGCTATTGGGAGCATATAGTTGTTTTGAGNAGACTAATGCAATTAAAATTTGTGTAAATAGTTACACATTTATGTGAACAATAAAGCAACGTAGGCTACATAGCCCGATTAACAAATGTACAGAATCTACATGGCGCTTAGGGGGTGAAAACATCAGTCAGACAGGATCATGGGCCTCTGCTATCAGGATTACTGAGGTCTATACTAGTGAGAAAAGACGAAAGTAGGAAAGACCAAGGAGAACAGCAGGAATAGTTTCACGGCCAGGTGATAATTATTATAAAGCATTGTTATTACTGCAATTATAGTCTTAACTCTTTTATTTACTGCCTTTTTCTTCTTAATGGCAGGTTATGTTTCGAATTATAACTCGTATGAAATGCTGAGATATTTGTAAAACTTCGGACCACAGGTGTATGCAGTGGAGAACGAACACGCGCTGTTGTCCTTAGCGGGGAGCAGCGCACTTCACCACTACACCATCCGGGTCCCTCGCTTTGCATGTCTCTCAGCTAGTTCTATCGATCTTTTTGCCATCAGCAATCACCCGTCAACGGGATTGATCTTTTGCAAATATCTCAGCAATTCATGCAATTATAGTATTATGTAAAGAGGGAATTAGGTAGTGATAGCAGGAAATATTAGCAACATATGTCAAACTCCTCTGCGGTTGTCGTTAACACAATGAAAGCGTTAACTTCCGAAGAAAAGGTAAATAAGAATATGAATAAGGAGTTTGTATGGTGTGGCACTTTTCTACTAGATCCTTATTGAGTAATAGGTGCCGTGACCACGCCATCGGGCTTTCCATCATATCGCTTGCGCTTCAGAGCACTTCTGATTCGTCTCGTGACTTTGTGAAAAGCGGCATAGTATATGAACCTGGCTAGCTTTCAGCTTAAAAGAGCTTCCATGCAGAAATCGCTAGGACTGTTTCTTTCAGAATTAACGTTCGACTCAAATATCAGTGGGGATCCCGAGTACTGGTTAAAGGAGTACTAATTGTCTTTATAGGAATTTCTCACATATGATTGCTTGATTTCTATTTTTACGATTTTGGTCATGGTACAGTGGAGAAAACACTGAACACTGTCGCAACCACTTTGCTCTTTTACCTTTGTTTAAACTTCCTAGTCAAGAGACAGCGATTGAGGCTAAGAAAAAGCACTCTTTTCTGGCATATTGTAGTGTTCACTATCGAAAACTAACACTCGTTATCATTCGAGACTCACTCGGTGATAGTGCAGAGCTTTTTTTTTTTCGTGAAATGCTTTCTGAAATCAAACGTTCGCTTCCCATTGGGCAATAAGACCATATCGAGAACACCGTAAGCAATTAGTGTATTCGAAAAGTATAAGTATTGATTCGTCCTTCGTATTGGCAGACATCCGTAATGCAAGTCAGGAGAGAACTTCGTATTTTCTCCTTCAGAATCCTAGTGAATACATCGAACATCATAATCGGCAGCGAACGAAACGATCTTAAATTATGGAATGTTATGTAATGAGAATTGAAAAGATAAATGCTATATGCACTGCTTCAATGACAAGTTGACACCAAGTTGTTGCCAAATATTTGTTCGGTTAATGTTTCTAAGTTTTCTCCTTCCCCAGAGCTGATGATCCGAGTTGATGGTCTAAAGTTCTCAGCTATCTCAGGACACCAGGTAGAATTGCTCAACCAGCATTCTGCGGCATTCAAGATGAAATGAAAATCCTCAAGTAGCAACCGAAGCCACACGTTGAACTGTTATTTCATAAAGTGTGAACGCGGTCCTTTTCACACAGGATAAGGATTAAAAAATAAAACTCTCTGCGTTGATGAATCCTTGAGGGATGCGCCAGGCATTCGTCTTCATTGAGCAATGTCGGAGGTGATTGATGGTGTCATAATCTAGATGTGGTGTCTTCGTCGTCGTATCGAATCGTATCTTCTACAGCACCGCTAGAATGAGACAACCTCACTCGGTGATACACTTTTATACAGGGCGGTTGCTGCTGATGTGACTGTCCAGTGATAATAACTTGTTTTTTCCCGGACAGTACATCCTGCACAAGTCGGGATTATTGTCAGCTAGCGCTCATCGCGTGCTAAAGCGCGTGTGGCGCAGTGGTATGAGGCGCCACTGCGACGCACACGTGGAATCGATCCCTACGCCCATGGCCCACCGAGCTTTCCATCCCTTCGGGGTCAGCAAATTGGTGCCAAACTTGTCTAGGAGGATAGCAGCATTGGTTCGATGCATCACTAGATCACTGGGAGTCATTGTAAAGGTCAGATATGCATTCGATCACCTCCAACGACACTTAATTAAGTCGAAATGAATGGTGCATCCTTCAGGGATTGATCAACGTCGAGAGCTTTATCTATTTTTTAGCGCGCAGCGTGGGAATGTCGTTGTAAACCGACATTCATTTAATCTGTTTGTAAATGACCAATGTTCCCCGTTTCGCAGGTAGCCGAAATAATATTTGCTAACAAGATTGTGCCAGCTGGTCAATGAAAGAATACATAAGTGCCGTGAGTCGAAATAAAATGTCCACCCTCACTTTGCGAATGCTTTTCCCTCTGCAGCTTCGACCATTACTGCTGAATTTCTCTCTTTAAGATATTCTTTTGGCGTTTGCCCGCAGCGTTTTCCAAGTTCGGACGTTAGTTCGCGGTTACCTGCGGCTCGTGCGATTCCACGCTGGCGTATCAGCTCGAGTGTTTCTGGAGACAGACGTCTCTTGGTGACTTTTGAACTCTCAGCTTTCATAGCATAGCTGAAAACATCAGTCAGACAAGATTATGGCCCTCTGCATCATATGGGTTTTTCATAAAATCACTAGTTCTTGGAAGCACTAGTCCCACCAGCTTTCATTTTCCACCTCCTGTCGACACTTCATGATCTGTCCATGTCTCGGTTGCACAGCACCCTCGGAAGGTTGTCCGCTGGAATGTAGTTGTGTGGAAACTTATTTGAAAGACAAAGAGACAAAATGCTGCATGCCATATACTGTCCTGTTCCTCTTCCACCAGCTTGTTCTTGACCAAGCCGTCTTTTTTCTTCTCTGATTGGGCAGACTAGAAATTTTGTGTACGTTATCCATTTCGTTTTGGTTTTCGTATCGTCAGAGGTTCTGATAATCATGTGGATCTTTACTTTCTCTTTTCACAGGAATCCGTGATTCATTGCTTGTGATTCAGTTGTCTAAGACAATGATTCCATTGTTGAAGCGAATGTTTGGTGGAAATTCTTCATTTATGCGTACTTTCTTCTGGTTTCAATCAAGTGACCTTATTACCCACGAGATGGTGTCGCGCTCGTATTGTAATCGAAGAGAAATGAAGAACAAGTGGCAAAAATTAAGATAAGCGTTAGCCTGAATTTTCCTATAGCGCGATAACATTATTTTGGAGGTTAGAACAGATAGAATGGGATTCGTTTTGACGCTTGCAAACGCTTTTAATCATTGACCAAGTTCACGGCAGGTCAGTAAGACTGGCTCTGGTCTAGCTATCTTCATGCAGTGTCTGTATTAGTAATTTTATGAATAGAGCACCACTGATATATTAAGTCTGTCGACAGCAGAACTGAGTCGCAGAAAAGTGGTCTACAAAGGTTTTTAGATTTAATGCTACTCAAAAATAGTTTTTTTAGTAAAAATAATGACAACTGCATTTCATTGTGATAATAAACTATCAAATGGAAGTTATCTTGGTTTGTCTGACCTCTAAAGCACCGTTGTAAGCACGTGCTATGTTCAGCTAAATCTGAAAATTCTACACAGATCTGTTGTCTCGACCATAATTTTCAATCATTGCAGATCCTGCAGATCTATAGTTCTTCAGTGACGAACAACATCGTAATGGAGACTTAAAAAGCAATGCGACGACTATATCTACATGAGCAAATGATCCATTGCAGCTCTCAAGATCGTGGGCCTTTTCGTTCGAAGGATGTAATGTGACACAATCGTGCTGGTTCCACCCACCTACTTGCGAGCAGAACACCCAAGCAAAATGCATTTCTGGAGTACGATGGTCGATGGAGCCGGATGGGATCAAAATCCAGGTGAGTTCTGTTATTCAACAATACTTCATTGAAATTCACTCCCAAATAGCGCTCTGATACTTTCAGCAGTGTGAACAGTTCAATATTTACTACTGAAGTCATCTATGAAATTCCTTAGGTTTAAGCTTGATGGATACTAAGTATTTGAGTATATCAGTTGAGTGTAGCTTCAATGTCTCGTTTTTTTTTCAGCAATTGCGAAGTTGTTATTCAACACACGTTTACTTCCATACACATAGAACACATACAATACAATGCTAGCTGACGTTTCGGCAGTATAGCCTTCTTCAGAGCCGTTTTTCACCTGCCTTCCACCGAGGAAGAACAGCCGCTTAGAACCGCATATAGTTGGCGAAAAAGCAGCTTTGAAGAAGCCGATACTGCCGAAACGTCAGCTACTGTTGTGTTGTATGTTTCTATTTGTATGGAAGTAAACGTGTGCTGAATGACAGCCTTTCAATTGCTGAAAAAGAAAACGACACATTTATAATCTAGTGCCGAGGTTAATAGAAAGTCGATCTGGGGAACTTCAACTTCAATGTTAGCCGTGACCTCGAATGTTTGATGAAGAATCTAACAGAATCGGGACAATCAAATTTCTATGCACCAACTCAAACACTCTCAGTTTTAGTGTTCCTGATCTCATACATTCTAATAGCTTAAAAAACAAGGATATATTGCTGGGTTATTAAATTTTAAAAATGGCTTAGAGGGCACACGAGGACTAACGACACGCCGACAAGTGATTTTGTGAGAGTAGTGCACAAAAATCTTTCGAGAAATTTAATCAATTTCCAGGACATTTTCACTAATGTCTTTAGAGAAGTCTTGCTACGTGACCAAGGTTTAATTGTGCTAGTTTTGTCGCGAAAATTGTAACCTTTCAGCTCCAAACGTACGTAGATGACTTGGACTCGAGTCGACCATACTACGCGGCACTCGGTTTCAGTTATAATCAGAGAATGGAAAGTGCTTTTCCCTTAAACCAGTTTAAAGCACTCGAGATGATGTTTACCTTGTAGGATGACGATACAGTAGTTGAATGTGTGCAACCAGCGGGGGGTACGGGAAAGGTGCAGGTCTCGTTTAATGACGAAACTTTCAATAACGTATTACCACAGGTACGTTCTTTCATTTGTTGTCAGAATCAATGGTAAACACCGAATCGGTAAAATTGTGTTATATAATTGGAAGGTAAACGCTTTTACCGATTTGCCATTTGAAATACGGTAGAAGGGGCAGTCGCGCTAGCTACTTAGAGAAATAATGTTTCTAAGCACTAGCAACTGATTTTTAAGCCGTTTTACTGATTTTCAAACGATAAGCGAACCACCCAACGGTTTACCGCCTCATCGTAGCTGGGAGGTATTCCTGGGTGCCGGACTGCGATGTACACCGGGGTATTCATCCCCTGGCAGGGTCTTCCAAGCTGAGAAGGAGCCCGGCGTTTCCATCAGGAAGCCTAGCTAAGAATAAACCAATACCAGGATCCACCACCATCCAGGTATCAAGGTCGCATGATGGCAAATCTTCCTCTGATCCACAAGGACTGCGACTGCCCGTGGTGGTGAAGACCTGTCAGACTTTGGCCAGGCTGACGTCGGGATTCCAGGAAACCACAGTGGCTTAACCAGCAGGTCTACGAGAGGTGGTGATTGTACTGGAGCCCACGCAACCAGTGAGGACAACTCGTTCAGGTATCAAGCATCAAGTAAGTGAGCAATGCTGGGAATTGGATCGCACTAGTTCAAAAGTGGAAATTCCATCGACAAAAATACTGCTGTTACCAAAAAAGAGCGAAAAGTATGGAGTAAGAAGTGATTTGTGTTAAGACAAGGCGTGTTCCAGGCTTCGTCAGTTCTACTTGAAGGTGGTAGTTCAATGCTCGAAGATGGCTTGCTGACGTGCGACATGAAACTGCTTCTTGACAATGTTGTTCTCGTATCGAACGACACCATGTTCATGGTGATCAAAATCCAGCATTTTCTTAAATATGATAGCGTTAGGAATTTATTTTGCAGATACACGATCTTGAAGCTCGGCCTTACTATTTATTGTTTGCACGGGGAAACGCCGACCCTTGGAGTATGTAAGACGACATTCATACATTTGACTATTTACCTCCGTAACTACCTTTGATTTAAGCACTAGAAAAGGATATACATTCTGTGAACGATGGCCCTCAGTTTCCGTGGATGACTCAAGAAATGGTAAGATCATTTAATAGGGTTCACATTACAGCACTATAGATCTAGTATACAAAATAGAATGATTCTTAAAGGCACTTAATGCCCTTCAAGGTAATCTCTGAAGTAAATTCGTTTTAATGAATTTAACCGAATAGGTTACATTCTGTCGTGGTGACAACTGTACATGGAACAATTTGTATCTTCTCACTGATGGAATGCAGTCACCAGTCGAGCGCTACTGGAGGTACCGCGTCGCAGTGCTGCACGGTATCCTTGTTTTTTTTTTCGTTGTACGTTCACAAAAGGTGTTATACAAACTACGAATTTTTGCCTGGGTAGAATCGCTTAGACATTTCATGGCTCACTAGCTTATTTCTCATAGTTTTTCATTAAGATGAGGGAAGTCAGAGAAATCTGCGTGGGTTTCAAGGAAAATGTCAAATCTGACAGCTGTTCCAAACCTGTAGACCATCCCTTATTCTACCCAACCATTTGTTTGATTACTGCTGTTTTTATTAGTTTTATAAAACCTTCTAAAAAGTTATAAAGGTAAAATATTGTTTAGAAAAATTTTAAACAAACGAAGTCTGTTTCAGTGTAAAAGATACTTGACGTCGATCAATCCCTTGGGGATGCGTCAAGCATTTGACTTCATTAAAGTTTATAGAACCAATTAAATGAATAGCCCACACAGGAGTTTTTGAGGTCCCACAGATGCATGAAGTGTTCTTATTCTCGTAGACAAGTTTCGCACCAATTATTCCACTGTTTGGTTGGGATGGAGGGCTTAGTTTGCAGGGTGAGAATAATGGAATGGATAAGCAACCAAGTGTTTAATGTAGGGCACTTCTAACTACTACGTTCTATGCTTCTCCTCTGTACTAACGCGGTAATAATTATGGTGTTTTTATTGGGATGTTTAATTAGTTTGTTCTAATCATAGGTGTTACACTCATTTTTGCTTGGTGGGTGCTCGGTTCGTCTGGCATTCTCATAGCTCGCTACTTCAAACCTCTATTTCCACGGAAAAAGCTTCTCGGAACCGCTGTATGGTTTCAGGTGTGAAGAGTTTCGTTTAATTTCATGAACTGACAATCGAGTAAAATCATAGCTTAGTGTTTTTAGCTTCATCGCGACATATTTTTGATTTCGGTTGTGCTGCAAGTTTTGGCTGTTGTTTTCATTTTCTGGCAAGCTGGATGGGTTTGGTATCAGTGCTCCTACCAGTGCACTCTTAAGGTGACACGACTTTTTCGATATCGTTTTTTGAAACGACTCAATGGTGCAGGCTTTTACTATTCCAACTTTCTTCGGCCATACGATTGATTGAAATGCAAACGATATCTTGATTGATGAGCACTTACTAACCGAGATTTTAGAACACTAGGTTTGATCTTGCCTTAAAACACATTGCGTCAGGCGTTTTAAAATTTTGGTAAAATCAGGTCTTTTCACTAGGGTGTTCATTCTGTGGTTTTTTCCAAATGCTAATTTTTTAGGATTTCTCCAAGAAAATGCACGTGATTACTGGTGTGATCGCTACAGTCCTAGCCGTGATACAACCTTTTTTCGCATTTCTCCGCCCCTCACCAGACTCTGAGTATCGCTTCATCTTCAACTGGGGTCACTGGCTGATCGGTATGACCGCGTGGAGCTTCGCCAGTAGGTAACCCATCATATTAGAAAACTTCTGGGATAGGACAGTCATTTTTATTTGCCTGCATTCATTTAAAGAATATGAATTTCCCGGAAGATGCTCAGATTTTTCTGTATGTTCACTTCCGAATTGAAATCTCTACTAATGTGTTGAATTCCCTTCTACTTAGCCGCTTCAATCATTAGGTTCGATAAAATTCTCGGAAACAACTTCGACTGCGTCCTTATAAGTTCTTTTTAAGAAAAACTGTATCGAAATGCTTGAAAAAAGTGGGGTTTCGTCGGCAACGAGTCAAAAGTTTTCTACTCCATATACTTTTTCTGTCATGATTCTTCACAATCAGCGTGTAGTCCATTGAACGGATCTACGCTGTTTATCGTAAAATATGTATTGTTTTTACTACAGATGATAGCACAGTTTAAAAAGGATGTCCTGGTATTTCGAAAGAGAACGAGGACGTAGATTTATTCAGCTCTGTTTTAACTAGCCACTTAGATTTTGTGAGAATCTAACTGTTGACTTTTGAGACCAATCTAAAACGATAAAATATCGTTCGGCTTTTACGATCATATTTGGTAATTGAAACAGAAAGTGGAGACGATTCAAGCAACTCTTTAATGGTTACTACCAAATAATAACGAATTCCTGCAGAAATTGACAATAGTTGTGTAGTTTTCTTGTTAGTTCATACTCTGTTCGTGGGTCACTACAGTACAGAAGCAAACCTGTGGGATCATGCGACAAACACATTTAAAATGGAAGGAAAATATCAAAATCCACCTTTGGGGCAGCGAAAGGATGAAAATATGAAGAGGTCGGCGTTGGTCAATCCATAGGGGTGCACCATGCAATTGACTTCATTAAGCATCGTCAGTGGTGAATAAATGCATATCTGGCCTATGCAACGACTTGCGGTTGTCTGTGTCAAGACAATGCCGCTATCCTCCCAAATAAGTCGGCTGCCAATTTTCGACCTCAAAGTGATGGAAGGGTTGTTGAGCACGGGTCTTGGGATATAACGAGCAACCATGTATGTTGGCGCAGTAGTTGTTAAGTTTCGAAGTAGGTTCAATATTGAAAAAGGAAAAGCTGCCTAAATAGTGAGTCTTAGGAAGAGAATGTAATCACTGAAGAGTGGAAGGATCCAGTGGTTAATGTGAAGGGATGATAAAGTGCTCACTGAGAATATTGGAATGTGATCGATTTTGATATTCATCACTTGGTATGGATTGTGAGAAAGAACATCTCGTTTAGGCGTTACGATGGTACTTTCGTTACCTATGGGCAAGACTGGCTTGAATTCAGTATATGGATACGCTCCGAATTGGCTAATGGGTGGATACATCCTTTTCTTCATCGGATGCAACATTGTTATGGAGATGCTAGCGACAAACAACGAAGTGCGCATAGAGAAAAATGGTGACGATTTCCATTTATATTCTTGTTTTATCTTTACTTCAGGCAATGAGGGGCAGTTAGATGTGCCCTTTGCGTGTTTAGTTATGAGTTTTACCACCTGTAATACCCGTTACTCATTGTGTAACCCGAAAGGGCGGCAGAAATTTTAGTCCTCCCTATGTGCACAAGAGTCACTTCTTCGACTGTACACAGTTAAGGTACATTCCTTAGTGGTCTTACTAGTTTTACCAAAGCAGTAGTCTCAGGCTCGAACTATTCAGCTTTAACGACTCTGCTAAGAGGTGAACGCTTGTTGCACATCGCAATTCGGCGCCAAAGTACTCTGCATCCAGTATGATACGGTGAACCATAGAGGTTCAGCCGTATGTCATTCAGACATCTAAATTTTAAACGCATGATGCCAACTTTTCATATTTCGTTGAAGAACCTCAGTCTTTGAAAATGCAATTGTTTCAGTTTCGGAAATAAAGCCACACCGTTTTATTGTAGGGCCATCAGGCATGGCTCTTTCCCATTTGAATGGGCCAGCCGTTGAGTCTCCTCTAGCTCCGCCGACGGTGAGTTATAATTAGATTTCGTTGTGTTTCATTTGAGCTGACTCTCTGAGGCTATCAGTCGGCAGGGATTGCAAGGCAACGCTATGTCTTTTCCAAATGACAAGAATACCGGGACTCATTTCAATCGCTAGCCATCAACTACGTAAATTTTCGCCATCTTCATGGCACAGGGGCATTTCGTTCACATTTCCTTTGTGAACATCAAGGTTTCACACGTTTTTATTGAGATTACTGCTATTTACAACTGCAAAGTGATCATGGATCACACAAGGCTTTCTAGGCAGCTGTTAAATTCGTACAGGAACAACTAGACGTTGCTTATTTTATTTAATGTGTTCTGAGATTTTGTAAAAACTAATGAATTGAGAAGACGTTGTGCAGCGGTCTAGTTCCTTGGTAATAAAGTCCGCTGCATTAAGGTCTCCTATAAGCATAAGAACAATGAAAGAGTAGAATAACTACAGAATGGGACGAATTGGACGAGCCATCCGACTTAACCTCCAAGATGCTGCTAATGCTTTTATGCAATCTGTCTCGCCAAAATTTACGGCACTGTATGGTTTTCAGTGTGATTTATTAACTATCCACTTAGAAAGAGTACGATAGGTTAGGGTGGTGAGGTTGTGTGTCGTAGATGTTCAGCAAGATGATGACGGTAAATGCTAGAATTGTATTTCAGCGAGCGAACGCCCGTCTGTTTGTGTTCGCCGTGCACCTGGTCGTCGCCTTCGGTGTTGCCATCACCGTCACAACGATGCTGGTGAAGATCTTGCTTTCACACTCACCATAAACTGTCCGTCTATCGTGCGAAACTCTCAATCCGCATTCCACTAAACTGCCCAAAGATTGAAGGGTATTTTCTGAGCCAAACATAGGTAACTATCTCTTAGCAAGCTTCTATGTGGATTGTTAAGGGTGTTTGTACAACTGTTCACTTTTAGCAAAATTATAAATGCTTGTGTGAGTTATAAATATGAGGTTACCGATTTCATTCATACTTCTCGTGAAGTAGTGTCGATAATAGATACTTTGTTGACATGTTATCATAGCGACAATAAAATATCAGTATGATTTTCACAATAGAAGAGCTCTAATAGGAGAAAGCATTTACCATTAAAAGTTCTCACAGCGAGATTGTTGTCTACTTTATTTTTCTATTTTTCTATTTTTTTCTTATAGTCCGTTTTCTTACCTTGCATCGATCATTCACGAGAGTCTTCAGCAGCTCTGTTTTCAGCCGAGGACTTTGTCTTCTTCAACAATGTCGTCAAGTGGTGCTCGAGTTGATTCCTCCTACTACCTTGAGATATCTCTATTACAGCGTTTCTGGGTTATAGTGACAAAAAGGCGTGTACTTTGCGGATCGGTGGGAGCTTCACGCCACGTTTGGTAATATTTTATCGGCTGAAGGCAGAGTCGAACCACCAATCATGCCTGTATTATACGGCATCTCTAATCATTGCGGTTCCAGTGGTTCGAATTAGCACTTAAATGCAACAGTCTGAAAATTCGGCAGTTTTATGGTTTTACGTAGAATGAAAAATAAAATAAAATAAAACATTTAACCACAACGTTTGCTGATATATTTACAAAACTCCGGACCGCAGGTGTCTGCGATGCGGAAGGGACGCACTATTACCCTTTCCGGGGGCTAACGCATTCACCACCACACCAGTTAGCTCCCTGAAAAGGTAATTACGCGTTCGTTTCCTACCGCAGACACATGTCGTCCGGAGTTTTGCAAATATCTCAGCAAACGTTGTGTGAAAACTGTAGTAGACAGAAAATAAGGAGCAGAACACTAAAATATTTAATGTAGATGATGGTGCTCGCCAATGCGTAATTTTTTTGAATTGTTTTTCTATTTCACCTAGATTTAACTCTTAGAACTGTGTACGGAAGTGTTTTAAGGATTCTTTAAATTCTTCTCATTCAACCACAAAAAATGGTGAGATATGAGCGAAACTCGAGACCACATGTGGGATTACCAACCTACTTTTACCCTTACCGTGAGTTCACATGCTCTCCATTACACCAAGGGAAGTCTTTGTTTTGCCTTCCTACCAGCTCTGTTCCTACTCTGCCGATGTTACCAGACGTCAACTTTTACGTGGTGATATGGGAAGCAGAAAGCGGCATTGAAACCAGTGAAGCTGAAGGTGCATTCGAAATCACAGTGTTCTAATTTTTATTTACGCTCTATTCCTTTTTCTGAAGGAGTAGGAAGGATATGAATATTAAATCTCCTCAGTAGGCTATTCATGTGTAAAAGTGCATAATTCCTCGCTTTAGCAATAGAATAATTATTTATCATGCTTTTTAAGCAAACTAATCAAGAAATATAACTCATATATAATGCTGAAATATTTGCAAAACTCCGGACCGCAGGTGTACGCGGTTGGGAACGGACGCGCACTGTTGTCCCCTCCGAGAGTAGCGCACTTCACCACCACACCATCCGGGTCTTTCGTTTTGCTTGTCTCTCAACTAGTTCTATTGATCTTTTGCCATCAGCAATCACCCATCGACGGGATTTATCTGGAGAGCCCAAATCGGCATTGAACTCAGTTAAGCTGAGGCTTAGTTATAATTGCAATCTTATCACAATCTATAACCACAATCAATAATCACAAAACGAAGGACCTGGTGTGGCGGTGAAATGCGCTACTCCCCGGAAAAGACAATAGCGCGCGTTCGCTCCCCACCTCATACACCTGCGGACCGGAGTTTTGCAAATATCTCAGCATTATATATGAGTTATATTTCGCAACATACCCTGCCATTAAAAAGAAAAAGGAGTAAATAAAAGGGTTAAGATTGTAATCAAGAAATGTTTAGCAAAAGGGTATCCTTGGTGGACTGGAAGTAATTGAGGTCATTCAATTCCTTGCCTACCTCTTCTTCGCTTTAAATCCGATTTACTTCTGGAAAAAGTAACTAAAGAAGAAACGTCATCATATCGACAGATAGCCCATTCATCTTATTTCTGGTGATTGGTAGTTTCTACATATCAACAGTATCACTCGTCTATCTTTTGGTAGTTGCGCGATTCACGCAAATTTCAGTAAAGGCTTCACTATTCCGTATCGCACAAATGTGCTTAAGTTTGTGCTATTCCAGCAAAACAGAGGCAGAGTGTTTATAAAAAAGCTCTTGGCATTGGTGTAGTCTTGGAGGATGTGCCATGCATTCGATTTCACTAAGTATCGTTGGAGGTGTTTGAATGCATATCTGGCACTTATGATGACTCGCGGTGTCTCCACCGCCGTATCATGCCAGTGCTGCTATGCTCGCAGACAAATCTGGCAGCAATTTGCCGATGGCGGAGAGATGGAAGGCTTAGTGGACCACGGCAGCGAGAATTGAGCCTATGTGTGTTTCGCAGGCTAGCTCCGACCACCGCGCAACACGTGCTATTTAGAGTGTTCATGCATAAGATTATTACAAAAGCGTCTATTGTGGCCGAAAGTCCAATGGCAGCGATCCACTTTTTATCGTATTTACAAAACAATTAATGAACGGGTCATTTTTAAGTACACGAAGCAAGGAACATACTTCAGAAAGACGTCCTCGTTGCCATTTGCTGAATTTACGCGGAATCCTGGCATCTTGATGCCCATGACCTTCTCTTTATTAGAACTCACATCTCAAATATAAAAATTCGGATCATCATGCACTCTTTAATATGATAGATTTTCCTTCCATCGTGCCTCCAATAGCATTTCAAGCTGTATCTGCGTCAGTACGACCACGTTTAAACTCGTGAAACAAATCGATGCGGTTTTAATGCTTCCCCAGCAGAGGACCACCAAAAATCACTGCAAAATAATCAGGGGTGTAAATTACTAAGTATAAAGTAGTTAAAAAAGATTAGTTGGCTTAGTAACAATCTCTCACAGTTCACAGGTTTCGGCGATTTTCGGTGTTAACAACTTGTGAACAACCTAGCAAGACGGCGTGCAGTTTCTAGAAAAAAGTTGAAGCGCTCCTTTTCGTGAAAATCGTAATCAGGAAGGAAAATCGTTGCAAGAAATACGAGTCACTTATCAACTCAACTTTTGAGTGCTCTGATCACTCGAACATAACATGGGATTTCTGCAACAGTTCCGTATTGTGCTAGGTTGAAGTCAATAACTACCTTCGCAATGCAAATATCTGATCCAGTGCAAGTTTTGAAAAAATTCAATCACCAGCGAAAAGTATTTATGCTGCTGGAATTCAGTTGTTTTTCTTAAGTGTTATTTGCAGAAAATCCTTGCTCCGCTGGTTGAATCAAGACCGTGCCGTAGCGCCTTAGCGTATTTCACAGTCAGTAGCCACAGGATTAAGGGTAAACCCTTATTGGCTACTTAAAAGCGTCGAAAGGAATGTCGTTCTAAATCGCCAATGCCAGTGCTGGCAAGTGTAGTTCACGATGAGGTTGTAGTTGCACTGCAGCTAAGCCAGACTTAAAACCTGGGTAGACAAACATTAATATAAACAAATTAATTTGGTAGAATAATAACAAGGCCGGAGATAGCGCAACGTATTTACAGTGGTTACATGGAGATTAGAGAGCAACATTGATAAGTCACTCATGCAGGAAGATGGACACTTTTTGTTACGATTAAGAGTGATATTAATGAGGACCAATTTTTATTTGTACTGGGTAAAGGTTATTGCAAGAGCAGTGTCTCTTTGCCTGCCAATATTTTATAAGTTTGCAGATGTAAACACACAAAGAGGTCACAGAACGCTTATTAACGACTGCTTTTTACAATTACGTTGCTGCTGGCACATGGAGGAATCGCAGAGCACTTCTCAACCACCTACGCAATAAGCAGATTAGCTGACCACCATAAAGCAATCGAAAGATATGGCAGCAGAAGAAAACGGCTTCGGAAAAAAAGAATATTATTTATAATCACTATTATGCAGAGATATTTGCAAAACTGGGACCCCAGGAAAAATCTACAGCTTAACTCGGCTTAATGCTGATTTGTGTTTCCCAGATCATTCCCGTTGACAGGTGAATGCTGATGGCACCGTTGGGTAGAAAACTGGCTGAGAGAAATACGAAAGGCCTCAGTGGTGCCGTGAGTAGCATGTGAGACCTGGAAAGGGTAATCGCAGTTCGATCTGACGTGGATCCTGCTTTCGCACTTTTTTCAGCACCATAGTGGTTGCATTTCACATCAAGCCCTACCCTAAAAAATAATAGTAGATAGCAAACAAAAAGTTGACGTTATGCACAACGTCCTCCAATATTCTATCAGGGATCGTCGATCAAAGAATGGGGCCATGACTGCTTTCGCTACACTACGCTACACTAGAAGAAAATCCCGCCATTTCATGAAACTTTTGCCTCAAGAATAAAAAAGTCCTACCGACTGCCACTATCTTGTTCAAGCCGTTTATTACTGCGCTGCAGACAACAATACCAGTTGACCTAGACAGAAAAGAATACGTATGGAATGATTGAAAATTTCTATGAAAATCGCAAATTGGAAGGAAACTTCGTTTATTGGGAAAGTCACAGTGCAACTGAAAGGAAGATAAAATGAATAGTTCTTCGGCCAAGAGACAGGAATGCGTATTTATTTGAACAAGGAGCACGTGTAGCGCAGTTGTTGTGGTCATTTGTTCGATTTTGTATCCTGCGCTTATGAATCCTTCCATCCCGCGGGAACCGGAAGATTGACACAGAACTAATCTAAGAACATAGGAGACAGAAGACAGACACCTAAGACTTCGGGTTTTGCTCATATCTAAGCATTTTTGTGGTTGTATTCCACAGGTCCTGCCATGGAA